AAACGAAATAGTCTTTGGGTTCTATAGGTAGATGAAATTACACATCAATTGGCTTGTCACGTGCATTCCATGTCAATTGAGATTTCTAACTGTAACCTAAGCAAAGAAGTATACGTAGAAAGTATTCTCCACAAATGAAATTTTAGAAATTAATGTTTTAATAGTGTTTCATCTATTATATTACAAACTTTCTATGCGTTCAGCAAACTTTCAAGGCAGCAGTGGCTTGATGTCAGAAGTAACCGGATGTCATTTGCATAAGCTAGGTCAAAATATGTCTACACAGCTTTTAACAGGATTCAACCATCAAATTTGGCGACATAAACATGCTAAAATTTCTCACTATTTTTTACGAGGGAAATTTCTTTTTCTAAGACTAACGAATGCTAACAGCAACAGTCATTGCGTGCTTTGTGTTAAAAGAAGAGCCTCAATGGTCAATATAGATTTAAGAAGATAAACAATTTTTTAACTTCTTGTATTATTCAAGAAGATAGATACTAGAAGATAGAAGAAGATAGATACTATATTTTTTGCAGGTAACTTAACTATTATTAAATCATTTCTTTCTGTAAAAGTCTTGCACTTTTCAAGTATTTACATCAAACATAATGAATACTAATCAGACAGTAAGTTGTTTTCTCGTCTGCCCAAATTTGGTTAATTTTAAAACGACTAAATACAGTTTATCTATAAAATTCTGAAGAAACATCTTTAGATCACGCACCTCAAAGTGAAAACAGAAATTTTCAAAAATGTATTTGAAAGCTTTGCGTAGCAACCAAAAATTGTCTTTTTGCAAGACAATTGAAAATATGTTTTATAACACAGTTAAATACCTTATCAAAAAAGCACTACCAATTAATTTGTTAGTTCCGTACCAATGCTAACTGCTATGCAATTGTTTAATATATCAGAAATCTTCTTGCTCATCGCAGAAAGAATCTTAGCCATTATAACAGATCATTTGTCGCAATGATTACCAATAGCTGTGCTGATTTTCCTTGCGTCAGTAGGCAAAGCAGGAGGGCGAAGAAAATGTAGCTTTGAATGGTGAATTAACTCTTTAAATTGGATATTGATTAAAGAACTTTGGCTGCATTCTTATTTTTGGATTAGCCGTTGGTCGTACTTCGTACAAGTAATATTTCAAGTGGTTGACCCAGGATAAGCAAATTCTATCAGAAATTTCAGACAGACAGTGCTCAAACTTGTAAATTTCTAATAGTATAATTGGCTTAATAAGCAATGACCTGTCTATCCTATATGTTTTACCATATTTGATTTGCTAGCTTTACGCATAAGTCTTGCAAATGGTCAAAGAATACATGTACAACCAGGTGTACTTTTCAAAGCTTCTCAAATTGCTCGTATATTGTTTACCTTAAACGGCTAAATGCACTTTATCTTTAAAATGTGAAAAGAACATTTTTAAGGTCACGTACCCCCATAGTGAAAATCAAATTGTTTAATGATATCTGCATTAGAAGTTTTGCAGAGGCAAAAAATGAAAAATTTCTTCACTTATCAAAATTTTACAGTTTTACAGTTGAAAATAAATTAAGTTTATATCTATTTCGTGCTGGCAATCTTCTATTGGTAACCCTAAAAAAACCGCACCTTTATACGGCTATAAAATCTTTTGTTTTAACATAACGTGCTGTGCACTATAAAAAAGTAAAAATATAGCATCAACTAAAATGGTATTCAAAATGTGCATTGTTATCGACTCTTTGAACCCTTCAATTTTATAGAATCTCAAAAAATGAGGATAAAGTTTCCTATCAAAGAATCTTTATTACACCTAGCTTCTTGTATCATATATTAGGATATTTAGATTACCTATTCACATCAAGTTCTTCTAATGGGTATTTTAAGTCTCGTGTAGTTTCATATTTCATGTAGTTTCATATTTCATGTAGTTTCATATTTCATGTAGTTTCATAATTCATGTTGTTTCAAGTTTTCTGTTCATCTAATGGATATTTCAAGTTTCACGTAGCTTGGAAATTACCAGTTTTGATCTTCGGATCCAGTTAACAATGTTAATATTATCTCTTTCTAGCCATCCCAAAACGTCAAGTTATTCAACCAATCTTCCAAAATCTCTCTGCTATCTTCATTCCTTGATCTTCCTACCTCTTCCTTCTGCACCCATTTCTTTACATTATATTTTCTAATGTTTCACGCTACAACCTCAGACGAGAAACTTTCTTATTCTCTTTTACTGCACTATGAATCTTATCATGCATTTTATCATCTCTTGCCGCTTCATTTAATTAGCATTCTATTCTGTAACTATTTCTTTGCTTCACAAGTAGTGTTGGTACAATCTTTCTTTCATCCATTGACGTTTTTTTCAAGTTTACAAATCCCGGTCCAATTTTCCATCTCATTAACAACATCCCTTTTTTGTACAAAAGAAGCCATGGTTTGATATGTCTTTTTAAATAGGTAGCTAAAAAGCAGAGCAGTCAGTCTTCGTTGCCTAAAAGAAGATTAGCGAGTTTTTGATCATGTGTTTTCTTTTATTATCTATTTTTATTCCTATTAATGATAAAAGTTTTTACTCAAGTTAGTTGCACTGGCTGTTACCTGGCTAAAGTAATTGCTATTCCTGACGGAACAAGGAAAGAAACTAAATGAATAGCATTTTTACTTTACATATAGTGAATAAGAAACAAAAAATGATTACTTGGGCAAAATATAAGTTTCAAAGTATTAATGCACCAAATCAGACCATTAGCGGCACAGTTTGGTTAACCTCTTCTCTTTATCGACATAGAGTTAGGCTCCGATATTGAAGCTCAAATTAGGACCTTTGATTGCTCGGTTAGTAAAGCATATAATAATTTTTTGAATTGCGCAATAGGAACCTTTTGGCTGTAATTGTGCATATTGCTTTACAACCAATCGGAATTGATGTACGTTTTAGATTTATCACAACCTCGTTCGTGGGAAGCGGTCACTCTTTTGGCAATGGCACTTCTTGCTGAGAAAGAGGGGCTTCTCTATATATTTTGATTTGTCATCAAAAGGCCAAAACCAGCCAATAAATAGCGCTTTACTTCTGCGGGAGCCTTCAGATTCTCTCTATGCCCATATTCTGTTGGATCGAAATCGAATCTTTGATACAAATATTATTCTTAAAGCGGGCCTATTCTATTAAAAAATCGAAATCCTTCCGGTTTTCGGAGCTATTCTGCAACTCCCATCACTCAAAGTCAAATAATTCTTAAGTATTTCTTACAAATACCTTAAATATCATCCCTTGCCAACGCTCAAAGAATCGTTACCGATTTACGGTATGCAGGAAGTGACAAAAACCAAAATTTCCTGTAGCTCTTTCTGAAAGTTAACAAAAATTTCCTCATTTTTTGAAGGAAGGAAATCTTGACTAGGGTGTGATGGATGATTTTTATAGTTTTTGTTAATATTTCCCACGCAATCTTCAGACGTTGAATCATCGCTTTTTTGCTTTCATCTGATGTGCTTTTTAAATGAATTGCAAATATTATTTCAAGCGTATCTGGCTCTAGTTCAACATTGTATGAAAGTAAACAAATGAAAGGTAGAAAAAATTAATACTGTCGTAAAAATTAGTTCCTTCCTGGCTTACCAAGCATAATATCAGCGAAACATTCACAAAATCTATCAGTTAGTTTATGAGTCGTTTCAGCTACGATTTCCTTTTTGATAATACCAAATAGGTAAAGAAATGAACAATCAGATTTTGAAAACTCTGCACTATACAGTAATTTGAGTCTGGCCCTCATTCTGTAATTCCTCCATTATCGCCGATGCAGTTTCTCGTTGACAGTCTCCAATGGTTTATGAAAGACGGATCATTAGGATCTATCGGAGATCATCCGACACATATTTGACTTTCCCGAAGCTTTCCGACGACCAATACCTCTTACCATATTCTCTAGTTATAGAGTAATAGAGTAATCGAGAAGAAAGTACGACAAATCAATACGACAGTATGACTCATTGCAATCAAACATAAACATAACATAATACAAAACAGAAACAAGATTATATAAATTGCTCCACAGGGAGTCCATAGTTACTATTTACAATATGACACCTCTCTTAATGAAAAAATCACCCCTCGCTCAATATGACTTTAAGCATCAGGGACAGACAATCGCCTACTAGCGAGAGCGATCTACCACCATCCTGGCTGCTTTGTATCGAGGATCATTGTTAATGAAAAATGATATATGAACTGTGCGCTTCATAAATGTAATAATTATTACCATTTTCCCTTGAATTCTGGCTTCATATGTATGGCAGGGCTTTTATCGTTGTTTTAAAACGATGTCATAGCCGCCGTTTTTGCAGTATTAGTATTGTAGCTATGATATTTATTTAGCAGCGCTAAGAAAATCACGTAAAATGGAGCAAATATAAGAACATAAATAGTCCCCCTTTGGGTATTGCTGTTGTCTATTTCTTTATCTTGTCACATAACGATGCTTTCCTTTCCCTACTACTTCGGGTGGCTCTCTTAACGGTTCCATCGAGCAGTTCTATTACTGCACATTCATGTTATCAAAGAGATACGATTCTTTCATGCACATTTTCTTGCATCTAATGCGTTGATTATATTCAAAAATTACCACTCAATGTTACCACTCTTTGTATCAACATTGAACCTGTAAATTATGTCAGTATATATTTATGTATGTATATATATTGTTGTGATCAAGCTGGCTGTGTAGTATAAATAAAACTATAAAAGAGTGGTGTCATCGGAATCTTCTGCATATGACATACAACATTATTCAATGTCTAAAAAATTCTATAACCGGAATGGAATTGAATTGCCTGTTTGCAAGAAGGAATAGTGGGAACTGAATTGTATCACTTCCTGCTATCAGTTCGTTTCATACATTATCTAAAACTATTTTTCGCTAAATTTCATTTAAATTTTCTTAAATTTTTGTTCTACAAGGTGAAGAATGTTTCTACTAGAGTTGTAAAAAGAGTATTTTTTTCGATCTAATCGAATCCTGAATTATTTCTATTGATTATACGTCGAGAATTCGAATAATTGTAAGGGAAGTAAATTTGGATATAGTACCATTGCACACAGGAATGTTTTGTAGCCATGAGTTACAAAAAACTTTAATCACGCAATATAAGGTTTCTGTAGCAGTGAGACCCTTAAGACGATATTACCCACTAGCAACAGATAGTCTTGTCGTGCTTCACTTCGAATGAGAAAAATTTTATGATACACGAACTGGGCCCAAGACTAAAGGAGCATCGGTATTTTTATGGACTAAAGGTACAAGACGGCTTCTTTCAATTTGTGATTAGTCTCCATATCTTTCTTGTCCAAACCACAGAAAGTAAGAAAAAAACGGCCTGATGTATCTTGTGACCCTGGCTACATGATAAGATCTCGTAAGTAATTAATTAAAGGTTCCATTGAAACTAACAAACAAAAGAAAGACAGAAAACGCGACAGAAGTTAGAAAGCAGTCTCGTACTATCGCAATCATAGCCGGCCGTATCTCTATTTTTCCCTTTGCGAAGATTTCCAACTAGAAAACCGTCACGCAGAAAAAAATATAAGCACACCTCAGTATGCTTGAAGTCTGAAGGAACATTCAAGACAAATTGTATATTTTCCGGTTCCAAGTTCGAGCCCTTACCATGTGCATTTTTTGTATTCATGACAGTTTTATCTTCGATACCCATTACAAAAAAGTCTATTGTTAATCACACTGACTGAAATTCTATCTCTAGCAATCATCGTGAAATATTCTAACCGTGAGAACAATAAAACTTTCTGTTAAAATTAAAATGATCATATGATGACTGCTTTTAAAATCAAAATTTCTTATTCTGAATAGATACTTTGGTTAGTTACAAACCTTATACAGTATCTACTAGAGTGGAAACAGTGCAATATGAACCCCGAACCCAAATTATTTTGCACATAAGGTCTACATGGAAATCATCATGAATTGAGACGAATATTGTCCCATTCTACTTCAAGGGTAAAAAACAACAAACTAGCCCTTCTGGGTTTAGAATGACTCTTTTGTACCTACCACATTTATCTAATTTAGTTACAACTAGTAACATCCTACAAACAAAAGTTGCTAATACTTATGCATAGTTTAAAGACAACTTCCAATCTATTTATCAATATATTTAGGCCAGGTGCTCTCTCAAACAAAGCAAGAAAACAAAGTCAGATTATCAACAATATTTTCTTGCGATCGCCTTTTCTTGTTTTTGCACCGAGCACAACCCGAGGGATAATTCACTCCTGCAAATAGCGCACGAAATTCTCCCTAAAACAAAAGGATTTCCAGGGGTCTTCAGATAAAACAATAGGATTTTCCCAAAAAGTGTACGAGATTTTTTTGGAGTGATTGGCCCCTCGGCACAACCAACACCTGCATATGTCTATGTATGGGTTAAATGCACATGGAGGGAAAATGGCTTTGTGGTTCAAATACTTCTAGGATCAAATATTACCAAACTAGTCGGATATTTTGCTATTCGGCATAAATGACACTTTTCTATTACAAATGGCTTTTTTGTGTGCCTAGCCAAGGCTGTCGTCTGTAGTAGGGGGAACTTTTTCTTTAGGTACATTATTTCCATTTAAGTTCCGTCCCTTTATCTGCCTTTTGGGAACTTTTTATCAACATGTTTTCGTACTTTTGCGAAAAGTGAATGATCTTCATGAACCTTGTACAATTGACATTCCATTAGGCGCGTAATTTAATTTCCATACGTCAAATATTAGATTTGTTGCTATGGCAGTTTTGAACGTCTCTCACAGACAGGCAGGTAACTTGCATTTTCTTCTTGTGGAAGGGTACAATGACCCAATTGCTGTAGCGAATCTTATAGGATTTTGGCATAACTTAAAGGGTGTTTTTTGGGTATCGCCCCCTGCAGCATCAGAAACTACATCCCCGAATATTGACCTAATGGAATTTCAAATGTAGGATTGGCTACTTTCACAGCAGCAAACCTCATCAGCAATTTCCAGTCCATTGCCTTCCTTGGTATACTGCGTATGCAAGGGTTGTGCTAGGGGTAGTTTTCCGAGAGAGTGGAAAAAAGCATGGCTTTCATGATTTGTCCAAAAGGGCAAAGAAATCGGTAAAAGTGGGGATAGGAAGACCCTTTTTTAAATGTTGCCAACATTGAAAGGTCTCTTTTTTAATGAAGACAAGCAAGTTTTGATTCCTACATACTTTTGGTTGCATTCGACATGATCGGGCTTGATTCGCCTTTGTTCGACTTGATTGGACTTGACTTGCTTCGAATGATAATTTCGGTGCTTGGTTGGTTGCCAGTTGTGAGAGTATATCAGCCATTGAGTTTGAAATGGGCTTATTCAACAAATGTGAAGAATGAGGCCATTTGCCTTATTGTATGCTGGGAAAAAAGCAACGGGCACGAGAACTCTAGTCTTTAAATAAGAGGTAAAGGATATTAGCCAATTCAAAAGAGCAATTTGTCAAATGAAGACAAAAAAGATTGTTTGTACCCTGAAATCTGATGGAGCCGTGAATTAAAAACCTTTTTGATTTCAATCAACTAGATATGAAAATGATAATTTGTTGGCACCGAACGGTTTATTCAATAATGCATTCCTCTGAATCAGCTCAGTATGGCAAATGCAGAGTTGGAGTGAGGCACCATCTCGAATCACTCAAACGAGAACGGGAATCGAACGGGAACGAATCACTCAGCAAGCACCTCTCAAGTTCCATGGGTAACACATTTATTAGTGTCTTGTTTCATTTTCTTACAAGGTCGCAACTGATCGTTAAGCTCCCTCTTGCATTAACAAATACATTTGATAGCATCCTTTGTAAGAATGGACTAGGCTGAATCGTATACATCATAGAACGAGCTGAACCACCTTTCCTCCAATTCTATTTGGATGTCTTTAACTATACAGCTGACGAGAAGCTATATGAACATTGATTACGATTGAGCTTAGTCATTGACCGGTAGTGAGCCAGCAGCCTATCCTGGATGTTTAGCGTTGACATTTAGTACCACCTTGAAGTAGATAAAGTTGTAAACAACAGTTGTCTTGCGTATATTAATTTAGTCTGTACAGTTAAAATCAGCATAAGGGGAGGGGGGGGGGAGGGGGAGAGGTCATCAGGATTTGCGGAATAACTAAATTTGAAACGTTTGTTTTTGTAACTTTTATGGTAAGAATTTTGACAATTTTAGAATGCTGGATTTTGGCTATAAATGGTTTGAACTAAGAACTGTGCGGAACGTCGGATTTCTTACCCCTTGAAGACCCCATCATATAGTCATTGCTTTGTAAGAAAGGCAAAAAAAGGACATTGCAGAATTTTCACGTCAAAGCGCATGAAATTCAAAGTAACAGGAACTATTGCAAAAGGGTTACAAAATGGAATGTTTTTCATTAATTTGAAGTATATGAAATGCAAGTAAAGATACTGGCAGTCCGAATTTCCCTAGCTAATTTCCCACGGAAAGAGTGCCACAAGACGCGCATCTTCGGCATACTTGCCTTTAGAGCAAAAATTAAGCATAAGTCTATTTACAAAAAGTACTATTTAGAAACTGCTTTTTATCTCTATGCCAAAAATTCTTACCGACATATTTTGAAACATGATTTAAAGTTTATATCAAATTGCAAGCCAAAAGGCCGTTTATAAAGCATTATATGAAAAAAGTTGAATTGAATGGAACTGAATCATAACAAATAATTTCCAGGTTCTTTTGAAATGAATCATTGCAAATAAAAAAGTCTGTTATTTTCAATTTAATCTTTTTTCAGATGAAAACAGCTATGCAAGATCATCTTAAAACTATTATTTCAAAGCGCTTATGATGCCGAAAAGCTTGTTTTCAAACTTCCTCTTAGACAGTTAAATACATTTCTCGGATTCTAATGACACTCTATTGACAAGTTTTTTTACAGCATTCATTAAACATTAAATTGAATGGAATGAAAGCATAATTATTAACTGAAAATAGCTTGAAGTTATGACAGATAAGCTTCAAAATATAATCAGATTTTTATTTATGTAGAATAATAAAGATTTGTTTAGTCAAAAAGTAGCTTACTACTGATACGTCTAAAGTAAATTGTTAATCTTGCTGTTTGTTTTTATTGAAATTACGGGCTTGAAATATTTCCTGGGAATGTTTCTCTTTTGAGAAGAATTTAAACGCCTATATACATAAATCAAAGGCATGGCTTGTATATTATGAAACGATAATATGCGCTATGTTTCGACGTATCAAATGCAAGCAGCATCAGTAAATTTGTGCACAACCTGGGTTCAATATTTTGATATATATTTCAGCGCCATATCTTATTCTAACAATGAAATTTGAAAATCAATTTAATATGCGTTAAACTTGATGTTTCGCTCATATTTGGAAAGTGAATAGAGATTAAAAATGTATAGTTTTGCCAATACTAGATAGTCAATGGATATAATACATTGATAGCTTTTGCCAATACTAGAGAAACTTGTAGGTCCAATACCTTAATGGTTTTTACCAAGTCTAGGTCACTAATGGATCTAGCAAGTCAAGAAAATCTTTCAATATTGAATTGCTTAAGAATTTTATACATTCGTAGTTTATGCCAGTGATTAAATTTTTATAGATTTAATTCTTTTGTAGTTGAACCCAAAGATAGATTACTTATAGTTTATAGTTACTTATAGGTTGTTTATTAAAGCAATTAATTCTACGCATCTGTAAAAATATATCTATTCCATACATATTGAATTAATGTTATTAGTAGTAAAAATCTAGCTGTCAAGATAACTCATCTGCTGGTTTTTTTCCAGCTTTTTGTGTATTTGTTTTAAAGTCTTATGTTTCCAATTATCTACGCTTGCATATAAAAGCTTATAACAATCCACGTAATTAATCACTTAAACTTGTACCTCTTGAGCTCAATAAAATGCAATAGAAAATGCTAATTGATGAGAATCTAAAAATCTAATAGTTTTAAAGAGAAATACTCAAGCATTCAGTAAAATACATTTAATATCACTGACATGAAAATAAAAGTTTTCAATCACGTGTTTTTTGACAGTTTTTCAAAATTCATTTTAAAACTGCCTCAGCATAGAGCTAAGAAAATGTTTTGAAATTGCACAGTTTGCTGCAATGTAACGTAAAAAGTGACCGGTATATTTTCTGTTTCAGATGCAACTTGAATCAAGAGAACGTGTTTCAGATACCAATATCTTAGCATCGCTTATCACAAAAATACTCATTACAAACGGATAACCACCCTTCCTTAAATTAAGCAAGGCCACAATGTCTTTAGCAAGGCACGATAGATAACGGCGTACTCAGGCAAAGAGAATATCTTCTAGCAAATCGTTTGCATGTTAAAGAGGGCGAGAAACACTCCTTGCGTAAGGTCGTACGTGACGTTTTCTAAGCGACAAATGATCCCTTTCATGTCATTATTTTTGATAGATAGCTTAGAGCAGATAAATTGATGTAAGCTTATCTATTCTTCATGACATGAGGCCATTTTAGGTATTTTTGTCAATATGTCTCTTTTAAGTCTTAGTTACAAATATCTTTTGTCAAAGTCACACAGGCTGGCGTCTGGTAAATGTAAAACGGGATAATCAGTAGGCGTTATTCGCGGATCATCTGCGCAATATGTTTTTCTCTCTATCAACACAAAAACGCTAATTTCTAATCACAGGTGCAAGTAAATCGCTATATCAAATGTTATAGAGCACAGCGAGAAGGCTATATGCCGTTCATATTTTTATGGTCGGTATTAAACGATTCGAATTGTCCTTATCAGTGTATTGTTATATTGTTATTGGTCATACGACGTCCATTGTTGGCTTCAAAGAACTTATCGTAAATATATTTGTTATGCACGAATTAGCTCAGTTGGGGACGCGCCTTCGGGATATTCACTGTTACGAATTTGTCTACTACGATAACCACTTGTTTGACTTTAAAGATTGCCGTTTGAAGATTGTCATAGAATTGAAGCGACTTGTAGAGGAATTGCCGGGTGTTGCACTGTTGATGTTAGTAGTTTAGTCGGTATTACAGCACAGCAACTGTTCGCGACCAAGGGATTTGGGTCCAAATGTATTAGCATTATAAGGTTGGCGAACCGCTGCCAGACAAAGCTCTATCTACACCAAAGCATTGTGTACTGGTACTGGCTGACAGCTAACGGCTAATGAGAAGTCATAGCTGAATATAAGTAATCAGAGAATCGCTACCAATAATCGTGACTTGACAAAACAATGTTGACTATGACATTTCAGCCTTTTAGCAACCATCCGTTATTTTATGCAGGATCAACTGACCATGGTTCACCAGGGTACACATACCCACCGCCATACGCAAGGAGAGGACATCGAAGAAACAGAACAACATTTACGCGACAGCAATTAGAAGAGCTTGAGAGACTCTTTGATCAAACGCACTACCCCGATGTTTTCATGAGAGAAGATCTGGCGGCGCGAATCAACCTAACTGAAGCAAGAGTGCAGGTATCATTTCTAAACTTTTTTCTCTTACTTCCTTTTCTTCTTTCTTCCTCTTTTTGCTTTCCAGACGTCAAAATGTTGATCAATTACTCAATTCTTTGTCCATCAGCCTTAATATGCTACCAATCTTTACTAGTTCGACTCTCTTTCACCGAAATCAAAACAAAGCAACATCACTCCAATCTTAAGGAACCTTCGACCTTATTCAGTCTTTTAAGCGATTAGATATATCAATTCTAACTGTGATCATAACATTTAACGTAAAGATTAAAGTTGAGTATATGTTCTTTCTCTTATCTGTAAATATGTTTACTTTTAGCACGTTAGCCCAGTCTTGTACACCAGATTCTTTTCATATCACCTCTCTTTTACTTTTGGTTCTCTAACCAGCATTTGAATCAAACAAAAATTGCTTCAAGAACCAAAAATGAACCTAAAATGTTCTGAATATTATGAATTCTAAAAATCTACCTATAAAAACTATTTGTATTTGATTCAACTTGAAGCAATGATATAAATCTAGATCCAGTTGCTGAAATTGTAGTGCGCGAGGTTCTGAGTTGCTTAACTTAAACTGTTTAGTTTTCTGCATTTGAAATATTTTAAAAGACTTCAAGCTTCTAAAAATTCGGGAAGCTGAAAAATAGAAATTAAGAGCATTCTGAACAGAAAAATTATCATTTTGCAAGCTTTAAAAACGACGAAGACCTTTTTCATTATTCAAAACTTCAAGAAAAGATAAAAAATTTTCCAAAGAACAAGATAATCTCTAGCAAAAAGAAAAACCGTAAAATGTCTGATACATTTTTATTTTATCAAACTTAATTTCTAGTAACTTAAAATATATTTTCCAACAAGCTTCTTTTTCCTTTCTTGCTATGTTGTGAGAAGAGAGAAAGTACCCTCAAAGTTAGGTAGCATTACAATGTAGATATAACTCTATGACAAATTGGGTTGCTTTTGAATGGCGTTAAAGCAATTAAAATTGATATGCTACTTATTCTGCGCAGTTTCTATCGAAGTAGAAATATACGTTGAGGGAATTTTTGAAAATTGTCTGATACTTTCTTTTTTGAATCTTCCTGAACTTGAAATAAAAGAGATTCAAATCAAACAACTTACACTAACAACCTCAAATCTTGCAGTCAATTAAACTGTAGAATATGAAAAGATTTGTACTGTAGAATATAAAAAGATTTGTAGATGCAAAAATACAGCAGCCATACTATCAAGTATGCTGACAACCTGGCAACTTCCACTATTCAATTCATAACACAATTTTTTCAAAGCAAATTTCTGAATAGGCTAGGTTAGTCAACTGATTTTCCTTAAAGTAATTTCCTTCGCTTTTTACTAAGCCCTTTTCACGAAATGGTAAATTTTGGAATTGATTTGTCATTCACAAAATAACCATAAGTTGTTACTACTCAATTGCTAGCAGAATAAGGAAATCAGGTTGATATGTTAAATTGCGACACCGTGATTTATCATTCATAGGGTGGTAACCTTTTTTCATACAATACACAAGCATTTTGGTTAACCTAATTGACAATTTTGTAAACAAGACGCCGCCATTTTATTCTGCAGCCTCGCTTCAAAAGCAAAGAAGCTATTGTCAATTTTTTCTTTAAAAATTTATGGAATACATGTATGACAAATAAGATTAACCACACTCTTTTTTGTGAATTGATTGATATTTTGCTAACTTCTTCTAAATGGCTACATTTTTTTGGTCAAGGAAACATCAATCCAGTAGTACTGAACTTAGTTACAAACACAGGAAAAATTGCATGTCACAGCAAAGTTTTCCAACTCTTGCTTTGAGGCAGCAGGCATCAGGATAAAATGTGATAAAGTTCTAAATTGTAAACAAAATGGTAACAGGCAAGAGACACTTTTATGTCGTTAAGAAAGGCACAAATATCATTTTAGGGTTCCAGGACCTATTTGCTAAGGAGATGTGCCAATTTGTCAAGAAGATGTGCCAATAAGTAGGACATTTATGTTGTAATACGCAAATACCCTGTCTCTGTCTCAATGAATAACTTTTTTAAAAGTTTGATGTTTTGGCAAAAAAGACAAAGGTCGGAGACTAAAAGCACTTTGTTTCCAATAGTTGACAGCGTAATCTTCCACATTATTTTTCTCCTTTTACATTATATTGGTACTTTTTCATCTTTTCCATTCTCTCAGCTTTCCAATCAATTACATCTGCCGCGTTTAACTTCAGCGGAATAAGATATTTGTCAGATATTTAGGTATGAGCCGTGCAGAACAATGTTTCTTAAAATACAAAACAAAGGCAATACACAAGTATCTTTAACAAAACCAACGTAACCCCGGCCATAGAAAAGAATTTGTAGCATTCAAGAAGCCAAGAATACTTGCTTTGCTGTGACATGTTTCCTGTGTATCAAATATCGCCGATATTTCCACAGACTCTCATTTCGAATATACTTGTCATAAACTGACCGAATAAGACAAGCAATAAAGATATATTGCGTCTACGGACACCGCTAAGGCACATATTGCGCTGCATAGATTCTTTGGTCTAACGGTTGTTTTCTCATGCCGTGCTTCTATATTTATTGGTGCGTGGACGCCAATTAAAACAGTGTGTAGATTTTGAATCTTGAAATTTTAACAACTTTTCTGTAGATGACAAGAAAGATAGGCAGGACTTTACTAAAAACTACTATTAGCATGGCAAGATAAGCCATTTTATAGCATCTTACATCGTTCAAAGGCCTTTAAAATATATCTCAGAATAAACTTTTGCATTTAGGTAGAGAAGCGTAAACCCCTAAACGAGGAGACAGTACAATTATCAAAACTCCCAAAAAGGGGAGAGTTTAGGCACGAAAGAACCATTTTATATCGAAGCGTTTTTTCTTCACATTGTAATATTTCTCGCAAGATCAGATTTCAAATTCAAATAAAAAAATACCCTTGTTAGCAAAACTTTTCCGAATATATTTGTGGAGGTTTTTTCATAGGATTATATCAATCAAATATTTTGCAATGACTACACTTTGTATCAATCTTATTAACCTTACCATTTTCTATAAACGATAGATGATAAAAATCTTTTAAATTAGTGTTCAAATGCGTTTGTTTACAAATATAACTTTCACCTGATTCTAAGTATTTTTCATTGATGTACAATTCCAACATCAATGCAATCAGCAAACGAAATCTTCATACGATGTTATTTTCTTTCTCTTTTTGGTAAATCTTTCTATTTGAAAGTTAACACCTTTTAACTCACAATCTTATTCGGAGTTCTGAGTTGAACATTATTCCAGTTTGTGCTTTTTTCGAGTTGTAAGTTATCGTACTTTCTAAATTTTCACTTTTTCTAGATAAAGTTACCAATTTTCAGCAATGCTTTCTTCTGTAAGTGTGGAAGTGGCTTTGTGTATTCTCTGTTGGGTAACTGAATGCTCCTTTTCTTTTGAAAGTAAATACTCACCAAGGCATTTTTAAGGTCTCTTTCATGCGGTTGCGTAGCTGATTGTTGTGAAATCGCACCATCAGACTAAACTGAGCTGTTGAGGAAAAATATCCACATATCCACAAATCTAGCAAATTTTTAAAGAACCGAGTTGTAATTGAGATCTCCCAGTTGGGTCAATAATTTAAAACTAAATCACAGGGATATTATTAAGGACTACTTGCTGCAATGGTAGCAATAAGCTTTTCGATGCAACCGAAATTATAGCTATGTAGCTGAGCACTATTAATGGAACTGCTATAATATATTAAATCATAAGTTTTATTGGAAATGACGTCTAGTTCAAAGAGCATAGTTTGCTCTCTATCGTTCCGGTAATAAGAGTTGATTCATACGGAAAGCATCTCTCATATTAAATAAAACGGCAGCTTGGTCATGGTGTAAACTTCAATATTTGCTAATAAGGCAAGATATTTAAATGTGATAATCTAAATTCAAACGAATTTTAGTCATTCTGTCTACTATGTACTGTGTAGGTTGACATGGAATACAGTAATTTACGAAAAAACAGAACTAATAGCATTTATAAACTCAGCATTGCTGCTTGATGCAATATAAAACAGCTAGGTATCCGGCTTGCTTAGCAGTTCCTATGTACAGTTCATTTGCTTGCTAATATACATATCGTTTCTACACTTTGTCTGTTTATTTGCTTTTGCTCAAAGCTTCATCAAATACAGTATTTTTCAATATTTCTGCGTATGAATTCAGAAAGTTTATCCGCAAATTTCCCTAAGGGTGAGTTGCTTCAACCGATAGAAGCATTTCACTTGGTTCTCAGTGTTGCTGGCTTTTAAGATTGAATGAATTGCTATTGACTCTGAATAAGTTGAAATTTCTGGTACACATTTCTTTCAAACAAAGATTTAACATTATTAAGCATTCTTACTGCAGTTCACCATAAAACTTTGCAATGAAGTCAAGCCTTCTTCATTCAGCGCTCTAGGGTTTAAAGCACTCGAGAGGTGACCAATAAATCTTGTATTACCAAGAATCTATTTTATATATCTGGAACTTTAGCTTGTATATATTTAAATAGCTTTGCATATCAAGAGGAAACCTGCTAGGGCACCTTGTAGATATATTTTGGAAAACCAATACAGAAACACAGAAACTAAATTCTAAATGTCCCTTGTACAACTATTCCTTGTAGAGTATCAATCAGTGTTATTATTTTTGTTTGCTTTCAGGGATGTCCCGATATTTTGTGACGCTTTTATACGTTTTTGGTGCTGCTATGCGTACCAACAATTACCTTCAACTTTTTTAATTGTTAGATAATTCATTTTTTTCTATCTTAACTTCAATTAACAAAGAATCATGATCAATCCAAATTTTTAACAGCTCTTAAGTGGTTATAGAAAAAGATATTGCAGAAAAAGTCAATTTTTTTAAACAAGAAAAAAAGCTTTTTCAATACTTAGAAGAAGATAGTCTTTTCATAATTTTCCCTTCAAGCATCAGAGGATGCGTGTTTAAAAATGATCAC